GGTCTTGTCTCCGTAGACCGGCCGCGTCTTTTTTTCTTTTTTTTTTTTCTTTTTTTTTTGTAAGCGGGTTTTGTTTTATTTATAATCTGCTGCCTGTTGAGATTGCAGTCACATTTGGGGAGATACTGACACCGAAAGATGCTTCGTTTTCATTCACAGAAGAAGTAAAACTGCACTCAAATGTACATTTGAGCTCCACCAAGGGCCAACAAACCGATTGTGCGTCTTTATTAAAAAAAACAAAAACAAACAAAAAAAAAAAACAGCTGATCTGTCTTCAGTTTGCCATAAATAATGAAAATGACTTGATTGGACACAAACATATTTTGTAAAGTAGATCCTCCAGTTAGAATAATAATCTGTTTGAAATAAATTGCCTTCAAAACAAACTCGCGGCAAAATATTTTTGCGTCGTGTTTTGATTTGTAGAATGTTTACTGCATTTGCTGTATGAAAATAAACACGATCACGAACATCATAAAGAGTTTTCAGCTTTGTTTTATGTATTCATTTCTTATTATTGTATTTAGTGTTTTATGGATTTTACAGTATCATTGATTTTTATGTTTTGATATGTAGAATGTTTACTGCATTTGCGTGTATGAAAATAAACACAATCACGAACATCCATCCATAAAGAGTTTTCAGCTTTGTTTTATGTATTCATTTCTTATTATTGTATTTAGTGTTTTATGGATTTTACAGTATCATTGATTTTTTTGAATCCGACAACACATTGGTCAACCTTGTCTTTTTTTTTTTAATGTATATTTCCATGAAAAACACTTCTAAGTTACTAATACGACACTATCCAATGATCAAAAGTAAGCAGAGCATTAACCGAGCCTGCTTTTAGTGTCAAGAATAATAGCTCGGTATTTGAAAAGTGAGCAAATCTCCAAATCCTGATCCAAGCTCTTATTTCTATCCTCGGAAATGCATTGGGAGCACTGCACATTCCACTCTCAAATCAAAACATGATGTAAAATGCATTAGATTTGTTATTCCTTCGCAGAAAGTAAAGAAAAGGGAATCACGGCTGTTTCAAAAAAATAAATACAAGTGTCAAACTTAAACATTTACTTTATAAACGGAAACGATTTAGCTTGCCTGTGAATCACTGGACTAATATTTAGTTTAGTTGAATTGCCGTTCCAGCCCATGACGATTTGATTTTTTAAAGGCGACAAGCCGAAGCAAGTTGAGATCATATTTGGTGCTGCGGAACCTGTCAATGTCTTTGCTGCTGAAGTTTCACCAAGAAACTGAAGCGGGGTATGAGCGTCTCGGCTTTTTGGAAATGTATTAATTGTTTTTCTCCTTTTTACGTCATGACGTTCACTTCTTTTTACACTTGCAGAATTTTTACCCAGCCCTACGCATGAAGTCGACTTTCCTTCAACGATCCCGCGCAGTCATCCGAGGGGGTGAGTCGTTTTATTTTGGCTTTTATTTCCGCGGGTAGAGTTTCACACGCGCTCATGTGGGTTTTGTCCTCCGTTCCCAAAACAAATTGTTCATGGGTGTGAAATGGAGTATGAATGGCCCCCGCGATAACTGCAGACGAATCCTGCCTCGCCTTCAAGGTCAGCCGGGATAGGCTCCAGCTCACCTGAAAACCCAGTGGGGGGGGGGGCTCTTGAAAATGTGAAACAATAAGAATAGAAAGCAAAAAATAAAAGATACTCAAGGCTCAACGGACACAGTTACATTTTTTTTTTCCCCCTCTCAAAGGCACAATTGGGGATAAGCGTCATAATAGTTTGGGGTTTCGTCAGAGTTTTGTTTTTGTTTTGACTTTGGTTTTTACATTCGGTTTTAATCCGTTTTTAGAGCAAGTCTATTAGTTCTTAATAAGTGTATATATATATATATATATATATATGCCTTTAGTTTTTATTAGTTTTAGGGTTAGTTTTAACTTTACCTTATTATATGGAGTATTTGTTGAGTGCAAGCAAAACATGTATATGAAAATATATTGTGCAACGATTGTTTCCTTCCTTTTGTCTAAACTAATAAACTTAACTGAACATCTCAGAATATACATCGATAATCATGTCCTAGGATGTACACGAAAAAATAAAGCCCGTAGGCGTAAAATGCAGGATGGGAGAGGATTGAGACATTCAATCTCATTCTAATCTCTTCAGCAAAAAATGAGGTTGATCTTGAAATACTCCTTTCAAATTCATACGGTGTTCAACACAATAACTCACCACCACCTAATGTCCGAAAGTGGAATTACATCACAAAATAACGAGACACAAAAAAACATCCACAAAATTGCAGGGCGGTGAAACCATCATTGCAGGGTGGTTTAGGCTAAAGCAAAAAAATAATAATAAATAAATAAAGATTTCATTTTGGTTCTTATTAACTGCGTTGTTATCACATGTCTCATGGTGTTAATATCAGCGATTCATTCTGAACTGTGTAAATCAAGCTTATGAATCATTGGGGGTTAAATGAACATCATCATTTTGTGTCATCCTGCGAGCTACCAAAAACCAACAATAGAAAAAAAAAAAGACAACAAAAAACACCCACCCTCAGTTTCATTCATGATAGCCGTATGATGCTTTTCCTCCCCCTCCGGAGTGAGTGAAGGCCACAAGCTCTGCGGCGCCTTGTGTATGCTAACTCAAAAGGAAGGACAGGTCGTAGCGATGCGGTCGCTTGGCTTGATGTGACCAGGACACGGCCATGGCAGCGGTGAAAGCCCGCTTGAGCCGTAGTGACACATCGTCTCCATCCATCTTCAGTCTGAAACATTTTACGCTAACTGACAGAGCGTGGCGCTTGCTTACCCGCCTCCCAGAGGAAATAGTCCAGACTGGTGTCTTTTTGACATGCACTAAAGAGTGAGCAGTCCACAGGTCCGGAGGGGCATTGTGTATTCAGTCCGAGACGAAAGGTTAGATCCTCTCTGCAAGGGTGGGGGGGGGGGAAAAATCTACTTCAGTATATATTGTTGGAAGTGACAATGGCTTTTTTTTTTTTTTTGGTGTATGTGTCTGTGTGTGCGGGTGGGCGGGTGTTATTCAAGCAAATAAACAATTCCGTTAACATTTTTGTTTACTGCGCATCACCTCTGTTGAGCCGCTGCGCACATTTGACATTTGAAATATTTTGTGGCCCAACAAAAATGTCATAGAAAGTGTTGTGTGAAATGATTATTTCGTTGGAATCTATTTTTTTTTCTTTTAAATAAATAACCAAGAGTACTCGTGGACTGGACATATTTTACCGGTAAGTCATAGTCATTGCAAAAGTGTTTTTTGTTGGAAATGCCATTAAAAAAGTAGCAAAGAAAAGCTAATCATTTCAGTATTTTTGTACTCTTTCCAAGTATTGCTGTTTCATTGTTTGAAATAAATAGCAGATTATAAGTCTCTATTTTATGCTATAGAGGACAGGTGTCCAACCCAAGGCCAAGGGGCCAGATCTGGGGCACCACATCATTTTCTGTGAGTTCCCCAAAGCAAATTAAGGGTCACTACTTCAGCTTTCTTGCTTGATACATTTCTTCTTTTCATTTCGTCAGAAAATTTAGCCTGAAATGGCTGTTTCAACACTGTTAACAGACAAAAGATGCATTTTTTTTTTCACGGATTTCTTGAACAAACGTATGCTGAAAAAAATGCTTGCCATAATCACTTCAGTATATATTGTTGGAAGTGACAATGACTTTTTTTTTTTTTTTTGGTGTATGTGTCTGTGTGTGCGGGTGGGCGGGTGTTATTCAAGCAAATAAACAATTCCGTTAACATTTTTGTTTACTGCGCATCACCTCTGTTGAGCCGCGGCGCACATTTGACATTTGAAATATTTTGTGGCCCAACAAAAATGTCATAGAAAGTGTTGATGAGTGAAATGATCATTTTGTTTGAATCTTTTTTTTTTTTAAATAACCAAGAGTACCGTTACCCGTGGACTGGACATATTTTACCGGTCAGTCTAGTCATTGCAAAAGTGTTTCTTTTGTTGGAAATGCCATTTAAAAAAGTAGCAAAGAAAAATTAACAATATCGGTATTTTTGTACTCTTTCCAAGTATTGCTGTTTCATTGTTTGAAATAAATAGCAGATTATAAGTCTCTATTTTATGCTATAGAGGACAGGTGTCCAACCCAAGGCCAAGGGGCCAGATCTGGGGCACCACATCATTTTCTGTGAGTTCCCCAAAGCAAATTAAGGGTCACTACTTCAGCTTTCTTGCTTGATACATTTCTTCTTTTCATTTCGTCAGAAAATTTAGCCTGAAATGGCTGTTTCAACACTGTTAACAGACAAAAGATGCATTTTTTTTTTCACGGATTTCTTGAACAAACGTATGCTGAAAAAAATGCTTGCCATAATCACTTCTGATTTCATATTTGTCATAAAGTTCAAATGCATGGGGTAGTTTGTGTGTCAAGCAAAATCTGCGCTCGGATCTGAACAGTATTTTTTCCCCCAAATATCATTTAACCAAAACAAGCAAACAATCAAACAAACTTCCCTTTGAAAAAAAAAACATCCAATTACTTTTACTGAATATTTTGTCAGGGTCAGGCTCTTTTATGGCATAACTGCCTAATATATGATTGCGGTTGTAGTTGCCAAGGAATGCTTCCGATCATACGGCGAACATTTTGCTCCCTTCAGATCGAGAAGCAAAAAGATGAAAAACATCTCGTCACCGACAGCAAATCCCAATAATCAACACATTGTTGCCAATCAGAGCTGAGCATCATCCATATTATTCCTCCTTTTAATGTTGGAGAATTTCTGATGCAATTCTTGCACCGGATTGCATTACGTTTGCCAAGAAGTGTGCGGCGGGTGAGAGGAGGGGGGAGGAAAAAAAACAACCCCCTAATTTGATAGAAATAAGCATAAATATTCCACGTGAAGACGTAACCTGCGTGCTGACATGCAGAATTTTTGTCAAGACTTTGCCTTACTCGCCGTATCTCGGTCAGGAAGCAAAAGCGAAGCGGCGGGTGGTGTGCGGGGGGGGACGCGCGGGGGGGAGGCAGAAAAGCAGAATTGAGCAGTGGCTGTAGTAATAAATCACAGGATCGCTGGTGACATTCATACAATACGGATACAGTGTTAACTCAATGAGTCGGACAGCCCGAGCCTGTTCCTCCATCCTGACCTTGCCTCCCTGTCGTCATCAATCATGTTGGCACGGCACACACGCTCCTTATTTATTATTACTCTGGACCTGCATGTACAGTAAACAATGAGTAGTATACGTTGGGAAGGCCGCGCGAGCCGCTTGCTATTATAAGGGGAGGTGGCGAAAAGGTCCGGTGGAATAACCGGAGGGCACTCGTGTCCGGCGTGCCGGTTGAAAGACGAGCCAACTGGACGGCGGGCCCAATAAAGGCCAGTGTGGAAATGAGCGATACTTAAATCTATAAGAGGCGTTGTCACGTGTTGAAATTTACTAGAAACGCAAGCGGCACTGTTTACGGGCAGCCCTCCGGCTGCTGTGGAACGACTGTTAAAGTCGGTGTAAAGTGAAAATAAATGTCTTGTGAATTGGACACACCGCAGGGAAGAGTGTTCATAACGACGCTGCTGAATTTGACTGATTAAAAACAGCGGCAAGTATTTCAAATGGGGCTTCAAAGTGTTAGAATGAAAATGGTGCGGGCTAACAACCACGCCCCACCGAACTGTCAACTGTCAATCAAATACCACGACCGCGACGTGAAAATCGCCACTACTTCATTGAGCATCGGAAATATATCCGACTAAATCCTCCGGTGGCTAGAATATATCCCAACCTACGCATCACGCTAGCGCCACGACAAGTGGGGCTATCCCACCTAGCTCACAAGCTAACAGGCATCGGCCTTGTTAAAATAACTGAATGGCTTCTACATGTTGGCAGCAATTATCTTCAAACGTGTGCAGTAAAATGATTTTAGAACAAACATGTGGATTCACTTCACGTGGTCTTTAAAATGAATTATTCTGCATCACAGACGTCTAAACCACAGGTGTTAAACACGAGGCCCGGGGGCCAAAATCCGGCCCGCCAGGTCATTTTTTTTGTGGCCCGCAAAAGCAAATCATGTGTGTCAACATGCTAAAATCTGTACCGAAATGTTAACTTGTCATGTGTAATAAATAATGTTGAGATTTGGCAATAATTTTGTTATCCTGTTTACTCTCACTTGAGCAATAATTGAACAAACTATTACAGTTGACTTGACTGATTCAAAAACTAGTCATCTATTAATTTGTTGTGTACAAGTAATAATTTTGTGGTTTCACTGTCATAACGGCCCTCCGAGGGAAGATGTTACTCCAAATTGGCCCACGATTAAAATTAGTTTGACACCCCTGGTCTCAATGTTTTCCACTTGGGGGGGGCACTTAAATTTGTATTTATGAAACATGTGAGAACCCGATTTAGTGTGCTGCAGGTCAACATCTGCTAAGCATTTTAACGTGAAAGGAAAAAAAAAAGTGTAAATCTCAGCTTGGTTTTAACAACGACATGTGTTGCAAAAAGCTACAGTTGAACCGCGCCTGACAAATGCGCTGACTTGGGAGTTTCAAAAAGAGGCTTGGAGCTATTTCTTTCCACTCCCAGTTGAAGTGTATGCTAAAAATAATCATAAAGCTCAGAGAATTACACATCATGTACTTAACCAAACCACATAGATTTGCCCCGTGAAAGTCCGCTAGCTTAATGCTAACACACAATCACAAAAAAAGAAAAACACAATAGGACTAACAATGCTAGCATCGACATTATGATAGTTATAACACTTTAAGCACTGGTTATTTAAACACAAACAATGCAGCAGCACATGTCGACAGATAATATATAACAACACTCTATGGGCAAATATTTATCGTCAGTGAAAACTGACGAATATCATTGCAACTTACTGATTTTAGACGGCCGTCTTTGTGTATTTACTACAGCCACTGCGCATACACGAGATTGAAGAGCACAATTTCAATGGGCATTGAACCCCTAAATTGTGACGTCTAAACTAATAACTTCTTCACATTGTCTTGAATTATGTTTTGACTTTTTTATAAGGCCTAAAATTGTAGAGTGCTATTGTTCACAAATGAATTAGCATTGCTATCTGACTCTTTAAGCTAGCAAAAGTGTGACATCTTGTCGCCTTCAACTATAAATATTACATTTTTTTTTTAATCATCAGAAATCATTGAACTTCTGTTATGTTATTTTTCATTTCAAAACGTGTGACGTTCTCTCAATCAAAACAATTTGACTTTTCTCATAACCTTTCGATACAGCCCAGTTTTATTTGATCATCACGTTGCCTCTCTTTTACATTAGCAAACCGTCAAACGGGCTGTCACTTAATCGCACGCCTTTTGGACTTCCTCCGCCATGCAATTTGACTTCTGTTATTCTCAGGTAGCAGGTGTACATATCCGGAGTGACAAACCACTTTCTTTGTCAAACTAATAGCTTACAAAGTCCGTGTGAATTAACAATGACCCGACGTGAGGGGCTCCCCCTAACAGCCTCTCCGAGTCGGCCGAGCCTCGGCATCACATAGTCCCATATGCGGCCCATGCAGGGGGCCTGTCTTGGCAACAAAGCCCGGCCCCCGCCCCCCCTGCGCACAGGGGCCAGGGCCCCTGACCTGCTCATGAAGGATGGCCGGGCCACGAGGAGGTGCCGAAGGGGAGGCGCTTTTAAAACACATACCATATGCAGCTCGGAAGAGCCTCATTTATCAGCTCGCATTTTGCTAGGTTTTTACACCTCGGACCCCCCAGCACTCTTGTCTCCTCCCCCGGGGGGGTTAGTCACCTCCTCGCTGAACAGTGCACATGACAGGGCGCTGAGACCTGGCCTGAAGTGCACAGCGCGGCGCTCTGATTTGTGCCTCGTCCCTGGAATAACGAGGACGCGACTGTGGCAGTGAACTCGACGCTGAGATACTGTATAGTAATTCTGCTCATCATCGTTTCACTTAGAATTTTTTTTTTAACCCTTTCAGAGACAGCAGTTACGACAGTAATTCTGCTCATGATTTCATCGTTTCACTTAGAATTTTTTTTTTTAACCCTTTCAGAGACAGCAGTTACGACATATGACAGTTTATCATGTGATCGGGTTACAGGGTGCGTGAAAGGGTTAATCAAATCGCAAAAAAGACAGAATTTAGCCCAGAATCTGACTTGACTTGAATTTTTGCACAAATGTGATCTTCCAAGTAAATCTGTGACAATCGTTCACACTCACATTTATACGAATGGACAATTCAGTGAAATGAGAGGCAGTGGAGTGGTCAGTAGACAACTGCTGCCATTTCAAGTGATATCTGATTAACCCCCGATAAAGTTCAGATGTTCTAGTCGGATTTTCCTGACGTTTGTTTTGATTTCTAGCCGAAGCCGGAACATTATATATATAAAATCTGACTGCTATTTTTATTGTCACTGTTCATAATTCCATTCCTCTGCTTCCATCCATTCTCTTATCCTGCTGTAGGAAGCTGGAGCCTGTCCCTTGCTGATTTTGGGCCAGTGACAAACTACACCCTGGACTGGTCGCCAGCCACTCGCAGAGTCCAGCAACATTTTGTAATTCAAACCTCAAACGTCTATGCGGCCTTTGTCTGTTTAATGTCGGACCCGACAAAAGAGTGTCGTTTTTCTGGTACATCTTCTATCGTTGACATTTTATGTTTCCGACAAAAGAGACGGGTCGCATTATTTGGAAGTTGCCAAAGTCCGTCAGGCTCACCTGTCTCTTTTGCCCTTCTCCTGCCCTTCCTGTCCAAGCGCCGCATCACAGTTGGACGTCATCTGGCCCCGTGAATGGCACATTGTTTTGCCGGCTCCTCGGCGGCCGCGCGAGCAGATGCCGAGAGCAGCCGCCACGCCGGTCCCCGCGCAACGCCTTCAACGCGGGGCCGTAAATTACATCCCGCCAACACACAAACACCGCCGCGCTCCACTGAGTGTGTGTGCAGTTTAGAGCACCATTGAAGGTGCAGAGGCATATCCCGATCTCGCTTTGAGAGCGGGGTCGGGTTTTTGAGGCGGCGGGGTGGGGGGGAGGCGGCCCCGCGGCGTGCCACCGCCGCCCGGACGGGCAGATCACACGCGGACAGCTGGGCTTTGAACTCCTTACCCCGCCACTCCCGTCCGGGGTCAGCAGCTCGGTGGCCGCAAAAAGGTCACGCGGCAATAAGAGGCCCGACTTCTGGTGAACTGCCGAAGCTGTTTTGACTGAGTCCCCGCGGCACCGTTGCGAGGCGATACTTTGCGGCATAGTACCGCGTTACCGTACTGAAGTAGGCTTCTCGGGTGTCTGTACTATCAGGGGTCAAGGTGAACAAAAAACGGATGAAATAACCACAACTCAAATTGAAAAAAAAACGTTTTTGTTCACCACATGAAATTTTTAAAAAATGCTTTTAAGAAAAATGAAATGAACTGAAATTACAGCTGACGTTCAGAAAAATGATTAAAACTAACTAACGGTATGATTTTAGCAAAAATGTCCTTCTTTTTGGTCTTTGTTCATGAATATCTTCTATGAGCTTTAGGGGTTCCTTTTTTTAATGAATTGATTTCTGGATTGCTGCATGGACAGAAGAAGGAAGGTCATGCAGGACCTTTTTGAAAAAAATGAAAAACAAACCAACCTGCTCTCAAAACTCATCAAAGCCAAAAGAGTTTAAAAGCAAAAGTCCAAATGAAATTAAAAAAAAAACAAACTGTGATGAAAAGTGCAAAACTGTTGTCACATAGATCGGTACTTTCTCCACCCTGCTTTAAAAAAAAATTCTTCCGTCGAAAAAAGCTTGTTAACTTTTTTGCAACTCCTGCGGCTGATGTTAAACGTTATTCTTGTAATATTTGCAACCCAAACTTATGCCTTGTCTCATATTCAGGCTTTTCGCATACTTTTTTTTTCTCCTCCCGACTTTAGTCTCATCAAATGTTTATCATCAACTACACAGGTGTCAAAGTCAAGGCCCGGGGGCTATAACCGGCCCCCCACATCACTTTATGTGGCCCGCAAAAGCAAATCAAATGTGCCCACTTCCATGATCCTTGCTAAAGTCCGTATCGAAATGTCAAATTGTGATGCTACCCCAACTCTGACAAGACTTTATTTTCTCTTCTTCTCCCTCCACAGTATCTGTTCTTCTACTCGACTGCAAAGTGCAAATACTTTTGCCACCTCTGCTGTTGGGAGGGATCCGGTGAAGCGGCAAAATTGAGCCGTAACATTTTGCTGTTTGTATGCGGCGCGTGGGAACCCCGAACAAATGCCGCAAATACCTTCTCGGTTTGGGGAATCAGAAAAAGGTCAGTCCGTTTAACACAAAACACTTCATTTTAACACCCGCCGACGGCGCCAGCCTTTATCCGAACAAAACAAGGAGGACTTGCCGACGTAACGCCAAATGACTCCATAAATCTGGGGATGAGACATAATAAAATATGATTAGCCGCGGTCTTGGGAAATACACGCTCTCAAAATCCAATCAAACACATCACCAAAGTGCGTGTGTTTGAGGAAGAATCATCTTTGTTGCGACTTGCTGCAAACAATATTTACACAGTCAAATCCCATGTCTGGTCAACGGACGCGTTGTGGCTGGCTAAGATATATGGCTTACTTTATTCATAGCTCTTCAATTACAAAAACATGTATTGAGGGAAGGGGGTGAGGCGGTGGGGGGGTGCGGAATAAATTAATAATAAAAGCCCTATCTGAACTTCTAATATTTTGCTTGGCGAAGGGAAACGAATTACCCTTTTCAGAACTGATGATGTATTACTAGCGTTTGATCCTTAGAGGTTTGCCCGTGCTCACATTCATTACTTTCAAGTGCTGAGGTGTATCTGCAATTAGAAGCACCTTGCAGTGGAGTCCTGACAGTCCCGCAGACTTGAAACGCCACATCATAGGCTCATCACGGCATTACGCCGCACGAGAGAGGACGGCGTCTCTTTCCGACGGAGGCAAAGACAAGAGTGGTTTAGGTTAGTAGGTGGGGAAGAAGCGGGGCGGGTTTGAGGGGAGAGGGGGGTGCCTAATTTAACCATGTGCCCGTAAGTGAGCGGGCGCCGATAAGCAAATGAGGACCTTTCATTAAATCAAAGGTGATTTTTGTTCTGCTAATGGCCGCCCCAAAATGGAGTACAGCGGCAAAACATGTGATCATTCTCGGCGGGGCCCGCCGCACGGCTGCAGACCGACCGGTCAGGGCTATTCTTAAGACGGTATGCATAATGTAATGAGCGCGCTTGTTTAATTTAATCACACTGAGTGGACCGCGCTAGTATTTCTTTGAAACGACAAAGCCGAGAGTCCGATACAAAAGCGAATGAATAATACAATCACTCAACCGGCTTGCGGAGTTAATGCACTCGCTCCTTCGCAAATGGCCGCGATTGACATGCCAGAGGTGAGCTGTCGGGGGCCGGCGCTGACTTAAATTTATAACCTCAATTCTGATACTTGTTTCGTGAAACTTTATGAATTCATTCCCGACAGTCTGTTCGCGTCATTTCTACTGGTTACACTGCTTCCGATAGATTTTTTTATTTATTTTTTGTCCACTCAGATTTCAGCCTCGGTGTATTACCAAACTAAAATCTGTCCATCACCTTCAGAATCAGCCGTGTTGACGCATGTGGCTTCAAATTTTTCGTGGTACCTTGACTTTAATTTGTTCCATGACCGAGATCTGAACGCTATTTACTGGGATATCAATCAATGTTCACCATTTCAAAACACTATATATTTTTTTTGTCACATGTTTTGACTACAGGAATATAGAACAGAGAATAGAAAGAAATCAGGAACTGGTTAGTCTGCATGTGTGCTCTGGTTGGTCAGAGCAAATCTGTTTTAGTTACGCAGCACTTTGAGTTGCATTTTTAAGTCTGAAATGTTCAACAGAAATAATATTTGATTGATAATCTTGCAGTCAAAAAATACACCCCCCAAAATGTTTAAACTAATACTAAAGCTAATGAAAAAGAAAAAAAAAACAAACCTAATACCTAAATAACAAACCCAAATCAGCTACATTAAAAAAAAAAAACTCAAAATGAAACATAAATTTGAGTTGCATTTGTAAGTATGAAAATGTCTTTATCAATCAAATTTGATTGATAGAATGATTGATTGATAATTTTGCAGACAAGAAATACACCCTCCCAAAAAAATTAAAACTAATCCTAAAACTAATAACAACTAAAATGAAGATTTTTTGAAAAAACTAAACCGAATAAAAAAATAGATAAATAGCAAACCCGCTCTTGAAAACTAATCAAAACTAGCTACATTAAAAAAAAAAAAAAAAACTCAAAATAAAATTTAAAATAACTATCATCAAAATTCAGCAAATCCAAATGTTCCAGATGATGGCACAGGTATGTGTGTTTTTTTATTTCTATGATTGCGACATGATAGTGGTGGGATTAAGTCAGGAAAGTCCCCAGTGAAAGGCCAGGTCTCAGATGCTCCAACCACCACTGCCGCGCCGTATTCTTATTGCCCATTCCGCCTTTGAATGGTCTTAATGTCTCAAATGTCTTTGGAAAGGTCGTCTTCCGAAATCGTTACGGTCCCGGAGTCCTTCGCGGTTCGCGCGTGACCAGGTCAGCGGTGGCCGCGGTGGCGCTCCACTTCGGAGAACCCTTGCAAGTTTGGCCAAAAAAACCCGCTGAGCCATTATGTTAAAGTAAACGACAGCACTTCCTAATGCCATTTGGCAGTGCAAGCGCGCGGCAATTAGGGCCTCTCTTAATGCGACGCTGGGAGCATTTCTTCTCAAGGTTAGCGCCTCATTTCCCCACGATGGGTCTGCGGGGCCGCACCAGATGCATTGTGGGAGCTGTGGGGGTTGGGCGTGAGGACAGGTGTCCGCCACCTTGGATATCTCCCCTCGCAGCTGGCACCAGCTGGCACCCCCAGTGCCCCATCCGGACGGTCGGCGGAGGAGGAGGAGGCGGAGGAGATGGTAAAAAGGGGGCTGGGGAAGGGGGCGTGTCAAGGGCAGAGCTGCTACAAGCTCGCTCACAGGGCACCCACGCCATGACATGACCCGGCCACTAGGGGAGCTGCCAGCAGGAGTAATGCGAGGGCGGCCGTGCCCGTTCGGAGACCTGCTCCCGCATCCCTAATGGAGCGGCAATGATGAGGCCCAGCAGTGCCAGAGGGTCAGAGGCAGCTCCTGTGGAGGAGACGAGGCTGCTCTCTTCCCACTGGAGAGCAGAGCATGTCATGTCTGACGCTGGTCTCTGTGGGGGCACACACAAGCAGGCGTTTTTTTTTTTTTTTTTTTTTTTTTT